AGTTTATCTCTGCTCTGCGATTTTTCTCTAGTCCTTATCTCTTGAGTTGATCCTTTTATCTCTGACCACCTCGGATCTTTTTAAGCTTTCTCCTTCCTGCATTGTCCCCTCCTTATCACTTCTGTTTTAGATTAACCTATAGATACAAAACGGAGTCAGTAATTGGATTATTTTTCCTGGGGAAATCACTAACCTTTCCATTTCATTATTCTGAGAGCAGAAGTTTATTTGGCTACAGAAATACACACAGAACATGAGAAAATTTTTTATAAACCAAAGAGGGGTTTCGAGTTGTATCATATCAAATTAGAAGAACCTAAAAGGCTTTGAAGTATTTTCACATGAAAGGATTATTTTGCATTTAGCAAGTGTCGCTAAATTCTATAGATTTCTTTTCCCTACCTCCTGGTTTTATAACACTTGAATCCCTTGTGGGAAGCTTTCAAAGTTGTTGCAAATGAAGTTATTCTTTCTTCAGAGTCAGGAAGGACCTATTACATCCTAAACTCTTGCCTAGCATCCGCAGGGTAAAACCCTGAACAGGAATGAGTAGTTTTGATATCAGACATTTGTAGGAATTCCACATTAATTAAGTGAATAGGCCCATTAATGAGCAGAGAAGGGCTAGTGGTCGAAACAGCTGCACCCTCTGCCTCTCTGATCTGGAAAACAAAGAAGTCCATTTTAGGGCGTTGAATAATTTAAGAGACCTTAATCTGGAATTTCTGCTTAACTGGGCTTCTGTCATTCAGAGTTCTGTTTGCCAGAAGTATATGTTCTTGTCCTTTCCTACAATACATGGGAGCAAAATACCAGACTGTTTAAAATAACTGAATGGGAATGTACTTAGCAAAACTGCCAGGAGGCCTAACCATGAAGCAAAATCTCACTAGCATCTTCCCTAGCTTTTTCAATCTATTTATATCTGAGAAGGAGTAGAGGCCACATGTGTTTTATGACACAATCTCTGACAAAAATGAAGAAGTGAGAGGATATGAGAACAGCGAGTGACATTTAATGAGCACATACTAAGTGCCAGGTTTGTTGGAAGCATTTTGTGTACCTCGTGGATGTACTTCAGTCCTCAGTAATCTTGTGGGTTAATAAGTGTTGTCCCCTTTTCACAGATGAAGAACTAACATAGTATCTGCATCACGTGGCCAGAATCACAAAACCAGAAAGTGACTGAAATTTGAACTCAAGAGCACTTGACTGTGGAGTCTGTCCTTTAACCTTTAGCCTTTAACCTCTCCTGCCTCCTTGAGGTAATCAAGATGGCTTATACAGCTTAAATACCTTTTCGAAGTAATCAGGATGATCCCGATGAGTTACATACGCTCTTACCATGGAAACTGTCTGAAGTCCCTCCCACATAATAAGATCTCAATAAATGTAGTGGATATTTACTTCTTGAATATAGAAATGAAAAGGCTCTGAAAGAGTTATTTAATAGAAGAAAGGGTCCATTCGTGATTCCCAGGGACGCATCACTTACAGTCTTAACCCATTTACCTCTTCAAAGGGTTCTCTGAGAGGTAGAGGGGACTCCACTCCTGCTAGCCTGAGTTGCTGTACTTGCCCATGCCACATTTCATCACCCGCTCCCTGGTCCTACCTGCCTCGGCTTTGCGGAAATTAGAAGCAGTCTCTTAGGCTTAGGCCAGGGGGTCTCAGGGGTTGTTGAGTTAGCAATAAGTGCTCCGTGAACTAAGCATTGTGGCTTAGTTTAGCGCATGTTTCTGTTGGGAAGGGTTGTCAGAAGAATTTATTACTTATATTGTTTTTCTAGAAGTGAAGTAGATGGACTTTGGCTAATCTCTCCTACTCTAATCTGAATCCACTTAACCTCAGGTCAGTTTGTGTCTCTACCATGGAGGTAGTCTCGCTGGTTTGCAGGGAGGCTGAACCTGTGACCTCCACAGAGCATCATGACGGAGGTCACCCGCCGCAGCATCTTGGGTCACAAGCTCTAGTTTGCATGTCTTGCTCTACTTTCTAGAACATACGAATATTCACTTCGCCCCCTTGGTGTAGAGCTGATCTTTTTGCTGTTCTCCAACTGAACTCAAAGGGATAGCAGCTTGATGAGTCTGGGGGAGAGCTAGCCCCACAGTAGCTTCTTTTGATTATATTTCTGTTGGCTACTAGAATAGCAGCTGGTTATCCAGCTCTTTTCAAGACACTTCAATTTGAAACTGGCCTTGAGGAAAGGAAACTGCTAATGCTGATTCATCTGTAACTTTCAGAAGCAGATTGGAACAATCTCTTTATGTCCGAGTTTTCCAGTGTGCCCTAATAGGTAAAGAATCCCATGTTCAAGGCAGTTCAGAATATGCTATGTTTAAAGACCTGAACAATTTTTTTTCCTGCAAGATTTTCAGAGCCTTTAACAGGATGATGGGAATTGTAAATCTGCAAGAAGGAACAGGGCCTGCGTATCTCCCAGACTTCCATCGCCTTGGAATCCATGTTTGTCGGACACGTTCTGGTACCATTTTACATAGGGCATCTTGGTCTGCAGACAACGGATCCTGACTGTAAAATGCAGCTCTACCACTTACCATGGAAAAGAAACATCTGAACTAGGGAATAATATAGAGGCTTTGAGTTAGGGGAAATAGTCAACAGAGTTTCTGCTTTAAACCATCTGTCTAGTCAGTATGGCCATGGTCATGATGAAATGAAAATGTTGACTTGAGTAACTGAAGGTAAAATAGAAAGACAAAGGGAAAAGTGAACCATGGCAAGAATCATTCTTAGACTCATCTAATTGAGGCTAGGTTGAAATAGAAAATGTCAAGTAGTGTGTAGTGCCTAGCAGTAGACATCACTTTAAAATTCCGGCTTCCTGGATGTATGCTGTGGAAAGAATGAAGTTGGTTGCTGATGTCTAGCTGGGGAAGAAGGTGAGGAAGAGAAAGCCCTATGAAGAAGTGGCATAGGCAGTGGGTTAAGGTAGTCATTCATTCATTCATTCATTCCTTCAGTGAAACAAGTAAATCTAGTTCATTCTCTAAGTTAAAAAAGTGCTGTTTTCATGTTCTCAGCAGTTTACAGTCAAATGGGGGACTAGACTGTAAACAACAAACCCTAATAAGATAATCTTTAGGGGACATGTACTAGCATAGTGTTAGGGGATCTCAGAAAATGATTCCACTAAAAATGTAGGAAGTGAATCTTAGATTGGAAGCATGTCTCAGGGCTGGGGGGATCCTGAGTAAACTGTGTGATGCTCATTCACGAGAGAGAGAGAGAGAGAGAGAGAGTTGTGTGTGTGTACAGTACAGAAGGGAAGACTCTCTAGAGCAAGTGATTGAGTTTGGGAGGCTGTGAGTGAACCACATTAAGTAAAAACGGGAGGCCTGATAGCTTGTCCTTCAACAGACCGGTCCAAAATGACTATATAAAGTAAATACCATAAATCACTGTTGTCAGGGCGCACACTCCACCTCCTCCCTCCCTTGCCCGCAGCCGTCCTCATTTCCACACCCCCTTTACGGTTCGGGGAGAGCTCGTGGTCTAAGTAAACGAGAGGACTTCTGACTGTAATCCTAGCACGTCACTTTGTTGAAGGCAAACACGTGGTTCCGAGAGAACTTATAAATCTCTCCTCCCAGGCAAGATCGTGATGTTATCTGCTGGCAGCAGAAGGTTTGCTCCGAGGGGAGCTCCAGAAGCCCCCGACGAGAGAGAGAGAAGAGAAGAGAGCAAGGCAGGAGAGGTAGACGAGCGAGCGAGAGACAGAGAGAGGAGCACAGAGAAGAGCAGGGGCGCCCGTGACGGAGACACGGGGAAGGGATGGAGAACAGTGTAACGGTCTAGGGAGCCGCTCGGCAGCGGAGTGAGGGGCTGCCCGGCTGCAGGAAGTCGGAGGAGAGGGTCTGCTGCAGGGTGCCAAGGGCCCACCTACCCGCCGCGAGAAAGTCCGAGTGGGAGAGGAGCCAGGAGAGGCTGGGAAAGGGTGGGAGTCCAAGGGACCCCCTCGTAGCCCCTTTAGGAGTAACACTGCCTAAGCAGCGCGTCCCCGGGGCTGACGGCAACGGCGGCAGCTGGTCGTCTGTTGCCGGGTTGGCGTCTGGAGCGAGAGCAGAAGGAGGAGCAGGAGAAGGAGGGAGGTGGAGGCTGGACGCGTCTGCGAGCGGCGGCACGACGTGGAGTAGCCGGGCGGGTCGGCGCGCGCCGGCCGGGCTGTCGGCCACCGCGCGCAGCTCCGGGAGCAGGATCGTCGCCGCCGCCGCCGCCGCGGCCCGCGCAGGACCCGACCGAGTCCCGAGCGCGGTGCGGAGAGCACCCGCCTCCCCGCGGCGCGCCGGCTCGCCCCCAGCGCGCGCACAGGCGCGCGCGCACACACACTCGCTCACACACTCACACACTCACACACGTGTGCGCTCTCCGCTCCGGAGCCGCGGCTGCTCCGGCTCTCAGCGCCGCAGTGGAAGGCAGGGCCGAACCGCTCCTTCTTTAAATACTTAAATTACCGCCCGGCCAGCCTCGGCGGCCCCCCGCACAGCGCTCCCGGCGCCCCTCCCGCCAGCTCGCCTGCTGCCAGCCCCGGGACCTTTTCATCTCTTCCCTTTTGGCCGGAGGAGCCGAGTTCAGATCCGCCACTCCGCACCCGAAACTGACACACTGAACTCCGTTGCCTCCTCTTAAATTTATTCCTGCCTAATAGCCACTCGTCTCTTTTTTTCCCCTCATCTCGTCGCTCCAAGAAAACTTTTTCTTACTCCCCAAAGTTAGAGTTCCCCCTGCCCATCGTGTATTACTAATTCCACTTTTGGAACGACTTGCATTTTCTTTTTAAAGGAATTCAAGCAAGATACCTTTTTTCTATTGGACGTTGACTCTCGATTGTTTGCAAAAGTTTCGCATTAAAAAAAAAAAATCTACCTGATCTGTACTTGAGAGTTGTTGGGGTTTTTTTTTCCCCTTAGTTTTTTTCTTTTCTTTTTTTTTTTTTTTCTTTTTTTTTTTTTTTAATTTTTTCCACCTTTAAAAAAATGCACTACTGTGTGCTGAGCGCTTTTCTGCTCCTGCATCTGGTCACGGCCGCGCTCAGCCTGTCTACCTGCAGCACGCTCGATATGGACCAGTTCATGCGCAAGAGGATCGAGGCGATCCGCGGGCAGATCCTGAGCAAGCTGAAGCTCACCAGCCCCCCAGAAGACTATCCCGAACCCGAGGAAGTGCCCCCGGAGGTGATTTCCATCTACAACAGCACCAGGGACTTGCTCCAGGAAAAGGCGAGCCGGAGGGCGGCCGCCTGCGAGCGCGAGAGGAGCGACGAGGAGTACTACGCCAAGGAGGTTTACAAAATAGACATGCCGCCCTTCTTCCCCTCGGAAAGTAAGTACTGTTCTTTCGCTTCCATTCCCTGAGGCTTAGCGCTGCCAGAGGCTCTCGGAGCCGCCACGACTCCAGGGACGGCCCTTCCCGCTCGGGGTCCGGGCTGCGCTCCCCTCCCCTCCCCGGTCCTGCGTCCCACCCACCTCCTTGCCAGTTGCGTGCCTGAGAGGGTTAGGCTTGCAGTCGGCGACTTTCGACTTGGTTTTCTCCATGTCTCCCTTCCCCCCACGCCTCGGTCCTGTACGAGGCGTTATGCTCTCCTTCTGGCCCCTGAAAATCTCTTCCCGGCCACCAGCCAGGACTCAGCCCCCCTCCTCTGTCAAACGCGAGGCGCTCCCCAGGGCCGAGTTAGACCCGGACGTCTCCGTGGGCTTGTTTTCTTCGCGGCGGGCGGCGGGGACCCCACCGAACTGGCTGGCGCACGAAGGGTTAAAAAAAAAGTGGCTCAAACCTAGCCTCTCCGGAAGGCGCCCCTTTCCTGGCCGACCTATCAGCGGGTTCCCCAAGTCTTCCCTATTGTCTGTAACGCCCCTAAAAATGTCAGCATCGCCAGGACAAAACCCGATTTGGAGACCCCTCCAAAAGCACCTCCGAACCCCCAGTTCTTGGACCTCCTGCCACAGCGGGGTGCTTACACCCCCCCCCCCCCAGGCGAGATCTTGTCACCTCGTCCCCTCTTGATTTCACCTGGAGTGGCAGGAAGGACAACTTCGCTTCTGACGACGTTAAAAAAGTGTTTTACTTCGCGTTATTTTTCAGAATTCCCTCAGACCTGTCTTCTTAAGATCGCTGGTGGAGCAGATCATTTTCCTGACGGGTTTACCGTTGATCTTTCTCACTCTCGAGCCCTCGGCTCCCTGAGCTTTCTGTGGCTTCCTTGCAGTTACTTCGGTGTGTTCCTAAATCTCACAGAGAGTAGAAGACAGCCGAGTTTTTATTTTTTTTATTTTTTTAAACTGGCTTCTCCGAGGGCAGCGTCCTCAATACCAGGGGCAAACAGTAGCGACGGGCGAGAAGTGATTGATCTTGCGGTTCCTCTGGGGGGAAGGGAAGAGGACAGTTAGCAGAGAATGATTTCCAAGTTCTTAAGGGGGAAAAAAAAAAAAAAGAAGAAAGAAAGAAAGAAAAGAAGTATCCAGTGATACCTGAGAGGGTTAAATACCAGGAAGAAGAAGAAAAAAAAAAAAAAAAGCTTCAACATTTGCCTATTCCAAATCCCAAGTCATAAACTTTTTCATTGGTTGCCCATTTCTCTCCTCCCCTTTCCATGCCCTATATACTTGCTGGCCGCCCTCACAATGTCTCTGTGTCTTGCCTAAATAGATAATATGGCCATCTTGGTAGTTTTCGCCTAAAGGTTCTAATTGCAGGGTGGGCCTTTTCTTTTTTAATATTTATTTTTAGTTCGACAAGCCCTAGGTCTGTGACTTGCCATGTCTTGGACTTGACAGTCTGAGAATGTCAGCCTGTGGATCTCACGTCAGTCTTCCCCGCCACCTTTCTTTTCTGCTGCCCCTTCTCTTCTAGTTCGGGAGCAGAGTAGATGTGGGAGATCCTGGCAGGCAGGATGGTTTTATTATTGTCATCAGGCACCGTCCACAATAGCACAGATCACTCACCGCCCTGGTTTTTCCCCTCAGGAAGTAAAACTTTCTACCTGGGGTGGAGCCAAGGAGATATTAAGAAAGAAAGTTCGCTGTAATTGGTCCAGAACGATTGAGACTAAACAGAGAGTTGAGTCAGTTTGCTTTCTCAAGCACGTGGATCCTTTCTCCTGGCACTTGGGCAGGCGGGCAAGTAAACTAGGTTATATAGAACTTGAACCGTGTTTACCTGCGGAAGTTCAAATGAATTGCCAGCACTTTTACAGACAGGAGGTCTGATCTCTTCCTTCTCATTAGACAGGTGTGGAGAGAGCCAGTTACCTAAGAGCGCGTCGATTCTTTGTTCTTTCCCGCATACCTCAGTCCAAAGAGCCAAGATGATCCGACCCAGGACAATGATACTCCCCAAACCAGAAAAATTCTCAGAATGTTAGGATTTCAGAGGATGACATCTCAGATCAGTGTGTGGATTCTCCACGGCATCCTACCTCCAGCCACCAAATAGATTAAAAGCTCTGATAAGTGCAGTGAAAAAAAAAAGTATACTGTCAGTTTTCATATACAAAGAATACTGGCTTCTGTGAAGTTTAGGGGCAGAAAAGCACATTAAGAGCAGATTGGATACTACTATGCAAGAACTGTGGATAATTTTATAGATAGTAGGTTAACTGATTTTCCAGCACTTTCTAGTTATACTGGAATATAGTGAACCCTCCCCCCCAAAAAAAAGGAAGAAAAGAAGAAATCATTCCACCATATTTTTAAGGAGCAAACTGAAAGTACAGCATTAGCTTATATACCAGCTTTCCCTCTTTAGGACTTTTCCACCCAACTTTTAACTCAGGCGTCACTGAAGTGGCTGAAGGGAGGGAGTGTGCCTGTCATTTCTTGCAGTGAATCTGACAAGGGTCATAAGCCCCAGAGATGAAGGCATGGGAAAGATCACTGGTTCATTTTTTACCACCAACTTATTAGTGTTCAGGGAGTGACTTCAGCTCAAATATTACAAATATGCTCTAATTATACTCAATGAGCTATATATCATTACAGATCGCTGATAGCCCTTTGTGGGACATTTTATACAGTTCAGACTACGTATTTTTAGCAATGTGGAGATCTAAAAGTAAAAATATAAGAGATATTGTATATGCCCTCAGGCATATTTTGTTTTAAATATTATGCTTGGCCCAGTATACTGTATAAATACAGTAAATATGAATAGAACTGGCCAGGTGCCAATCTCCAAGGATGAATTTTAGTCAAGAAGGTATTTATGGGATATAAATAATACTGTGTCAACATTTAAAGAAGGGGTCTGATTAGTTTTGAATTTATTCATATTGATCTTTTCACATGCTGTTAGTTTAAGGCTCAAAGTGGAGTTATGCTAAGGCTTACCGATAGTTTCCCCAGTAGGAATTAGTGGACGCCCTAGTCCTTTCGACATGCCGTCTGCAGTTGAAGGACATCTGTTTGAAAGACGCTGCCCAAAGCTTTAGAAATCTTGAGAGTGATTCCGTTTACTAGAGTAAGAATCCAGATGATTGATAGTTAAAATCCCTAGAGGCTTGGACTGTCAAAAAAAGAAAAGGAAGGAGAAAGTTTCCTTTTCTATCTTTCCTCTCACTTTTTTTTCATTGTAGCAAACTGAGCGGTGTTGGGGTTCTAACAGGTGGTGATTTTGCCCTACCCCCACCTGCGGGGGAACTTGGGGCCTTGTCTGGAGCCAGGTCTGACTGTCATGACTCATAGGGAATGTGTGCCACGGGCACTTCGTGGGTAGAGACCAGGGAAGGTTGCTAACCATTCTCGAACGTACAGGACAGGTTCCCCCCACCCCCCACGACCAGCACATACATCAAAGAATGGTCAGTAACATGCATGTTGAGAAGCCCTCACAATCAGAAAGTTATCTTCCTTAGATGGGAGTATGAATTAGACCATTTTGTGTGGTGGATACTTTATTGTTATGGTCCCAAACCACCTAAATTGGAGACCTCAAAACTTCCCATTCATTTAGCCTAAAAAATGATGTTGCCCCACCCATCAGTAACTTCAGTCAGCAGCAACGTGATATTAGAAGAGAGAAAAAAGAAGTGGGAAGGTGTCTTGGATTTTCCTTGCAAGGAAAATAAGCAGCTCCTTTTAACGAGGAGGGGCATCTCCAACCTAGACAACAGAAGAAAGCAAATAACTGTGTTGGTTTAATCTATCATATTGAATTAGATAAACCAAGATGATACAGCCTGAGACATCACAATGAGGTTTCCTTTGTAGTTGTTGCACACGAATGTTAGACCTTTAATAGCACACAATCCCTTTTCTATTTCTCCTGTAATTTTCCAAGTGAAATCGTGGAATGTACAATGAATACCAATAGCACTATGGTTCTGGGGAATTTGACTAAAAAGTCTCTTCATGGACATGGCCTTCTGTATACAGATTGCTGGACTATTGGCCAGTTGCCCAATGAAGGAAAATATTAGCCATTGTTGGAACATCATAGTATTTTTGCTTTATATCCAGGAATTTTATTTTTTAAGAGTCTTTGTGTGAGGATGTGTGAGAAAGAAAAAGGTCAAAGACCATCGGTTTTGACCCCCTTGATTTCTACAACGATTGAGTTATTAATACACAACAGAGCAAACGTCAGTTTCTGCATTTTTATTGTATCATTGCCTGTACTAACTCTCGTGCCTAACCGTGGTTCCAGTCTACTTGGGTCCCATTCCTCTTTCAGGATTTCCTCTCCCTTCCTTCTTTTACTTTTCAAAGACTCGGGGAAGGGGACTGCTGATAACTGAAGCAGCTGGGCAGGCTTTGTTGCCAAGTGAGAACAGCCCGCAGCAGGCCTCCCCCGAGAAGTCAGTCCCCGGCCCAGGGAGGCTGGGCTTCGCGAGGCCAGAGGGGGCAGGTGGGGACCCCCTGACCTGGCCGAGGGACCTGCAGCCCTCTGTGTCTCCGCAGCGACCCCTGGGGTCTGCTCACGGCGCTGCACTCTGTAAATTCCGGCTTCTCCCTGGTGGGAAGACGCTGATGTAACCCAGTCGCCGCATCTTTCATATAAAGATATGAAAGAATGACAGATCATTTTTCCTAGAGGAAACGGAGACGCGAAAAAAGGGCTAATGACTCACTGTTGATCCCACATCAAATCTGGGTTAGCACCGAGGAGGTCACCGACTCTTAGGCCTTCGCCCAGAGATTACAACACACTTCGGGCTGCATATTTAGAAGGTTAGGGAAACAGTGGAGGAGCCCGGCCCTGGGCGAGCGGGGGGCCAGCGACCTCCGGGTGGGCCGGGACGCCACCCGCCCCTGCCCCCCCCCCCCCCCCCGGGGGCCCCTCTCTGCTCTGGGGCGGTAAGGTGAGCAGCCTGGGGCAGAGGGGCGGCG